TCTATCCATCCACCCGTCCATCCATCCATCCATCCATCCATCCATCCATCCATCCATCTGTCCATGCACCCATTCATCCATCCACCCATGCACACATCTGTCCCTGCATCCGTCCATGCATCCATCCATCCGTCCATACATCCATGCATCCATCCATGCATCCATGCATCCATGCATCCATCCATCCATCCATCTATCCACTCATCCATCCAGTAAATATGTCCTGAGTGCAGTGCTGTTCAAAGATCTTAGGAGAATTTAAAATCTCAAGGAGAAAGTAGAGCAGGATTTTGAAGGTCATTCCAGCATCTCGGTTTGAAATAAAAGAATGTGCATATTTTCTCTCCCCAGAGTGTGTGTCCTTCTATATGTAGATATAGTTACTTCCTTGCATTCACAGGATAATAATAATGAAAATAATCAAGACCACACATCTCCATGGCACGTTAGTTTCCAAGTACGGCACAGGCATGATTTCGTTAATTTCTCACACCGGTCATGGAGGCAGGTCAGATGAGTATCATTACTTCCACCTTTCAGGGGGGAACACAGGGAGCTCCCCCAAAATCACAGGGTTCATTTCTTTGGACAGAAAGGGCCCTGGTCTACGTTAGCACCTGCCAACAATCAGAAGACACACACACACATTTCTAGAGGCACCCACTCTCGCATTCCTGTGAGTCAACCTGCATTTCCCCTTCGACCCCGGAGACCCTCAGACACACTGAGCCTCTGCAGACCCCACACCCATGGGACCGAGCACAGTGAGGGGGGAGAGGCCACGAAAAGACAAAAGGAAAGAGACGGGGACAGGAGTGCAGGTGAGGACGTGGGGTGCAGGTGATGGTGTGGGGTGTAGGTGAGAATGTGGGGTGCAGGTGAGGGTGTGCGGTGTAGGTGAGAATGTGGGGTGCAGGTGAGGGTGTGGGGTACAGGTGAGGATGTGGGGTACAGGTGAGGACATGAGGTGCATGAGGGTATGGGGTGCAGGTGAGGACTTGGGGTACAGAGAGGGCGTGGGGTGAAGGTGAGGATGTGGGGTAGAAGCAGATGAGTCAGTTGTTAATGCAGATGGTCCAGGGTCCCCAAAGCCTGGTGGTGGCACGACACTGGGCAGAGCCAAGCACTTCCCGACCCCCAATCAGCCCTCCATTATCGGCCTCATTCATGACCATTCCAGCAACAGCTGCCTCCCTCTGCCCTGGGGTTCTCCACCCATCCTCCCAGCCCCCCTCTCTCCCTCTGTGTCCCCCACCCTCCTCCTCGGGGAGCCCACAGACCAGACACATTACCCTGCCAGGGCTGCCACTGCACCAGCTCTCACTGAGCGGAGGTGGGGTGGGAGGAACCACGGAAATTTTGCTGCTGAGGAAAAATACAGGAATAAGAAATGGGTTATAAATGATGCAAGAATTAGTCTCACAAACACAAGATTCCTCCCCCTCCTCTAACTGACGTTCTCTATCTTTGGGGCTTTTTTTGTGTTTTTAACTTCCTCGCGTTTAGCCGATCCCCACGCGGATGTGCTGCTGGGCGCAGGGCATGAAGTCCAGGGTCTGAATGTGGGAACAGCAGGTGCAGACCAGCGTCTGCGTGCTCGTCACCTGCGCGACCTGCAACAGCTGGGGGCTCAGGGCAGGGGGGCGGCCTGGCGGCTCTGAATCCAGAACCACACGCGTGTTCCCTGTGGCATGGTCCCTCTGGAAACCACACGGGTAGAAGCACCAGAAATGCCATGGGTGTAAAAGTCCACCACGAGAAAAATCAGAAACTTGTGCGACAAGCATTGCGGGGGGGAAATGGGGGAGTGACAAGCAAAAAAGGCCTGAGATTGGAAAATCTCATCGTGGCCAAAACATAGCTGCTGGTGGGAGCTTCCAGCGACACTTCGGTGGGTGCCAGGGAACCAGGCGTGCGCCTGCTGGCATCCAGACTGCCGCTGTTCTGAATTTTGTGTAAAGAAGTTAACATCTGCCCGGCTGGTATGGCTCAGTGGTTGAGTATGGACCTACGAACCAGGAGGTCACAGTTTGATTCCTGGTCAGGGCACATGCCCGGGTTGCTGGCTTTGATCCCCAGTAGGGGGCGTGCAAGAGGCAGATGATCAATGATTCTCTTTCAACATTGATGTTTCTATCTCTTCCTCTCCCTTCCTCTCTGAAATCAATAAAATATATTTTCTTTAAAAAGAAGTTCACCTCACTCGGGCCATTATTCACGTCCACCAGTGTTTATTCAAAGATATTGGCGGCATGAATGATTCCGAACAAAGACTCGGTTTAGAATTTCATTGAACGTGCCATCAAAAATAATACTTTGTTTGCTTAGGACATTTCAGGAGAATTTAAGAAACAAAACAGAACATTTGGTGAGAAAACACCATGCTAGTGTCTAGAAGGCTTTTCATAAGAATCTGGCAGTATCTCTGAATCTTTTCCAGGTACTTTATAATTAAAAAAAAAAAAAGTTACATTCCAAAGCAGTGACCTCTGAAAGTGCAGAGACCTCAGCTCCTCGCGGGTCTGTGTTCCAGGGCGGCCTGTCTGTCCATGACACTCACCTCAGTCTCTGGTAAGATTGCAGGAGCTTAGCCCCGGCGGTCTCGCACCTGCCTGGAGAGATACCAGCGAAGGTCAGTGTTAGTAAGGGTATAACTCAAATGATGCAAATGCAAGAAGTAATAAAATGACTATTTTTCTAATGTCAAGTCTTACAATGAAAATGTAAGATTTGGAGGGATAGCAATGTTCTAAAATTAGATTGTGGTAATGGCTGCATAACTATAGATTTACTTTAAAATCATTAGATTATGCACTTAAAAGAGGTGAAATTTATGCTATCTAACAGATATTTTGGTAAAGCTATTGTTACACACACACACACACACACACTCACACACTCACAAAGAGACCATAATAATTGCTGGGAATGGCTGCTTTTATTAAAAGTTGATATTGGATTCGATTTTCTAAATCTGGAGAATTTGAAAAATAGTTTAGGCTTTTAAGTTTCTATTTTGTTCTCTGGAAAAATTTTATAATTGAATGACTATATTCCCTTTAAATGTTCCTTGTTGTGGAGCTTAAATTAATCTTTTAAAAAATGTAATCTCCTTATTTCTAGCTATAGAGGCTAATAATTTCCTAAACAAGACAGCGTCTAACACAGAGCTCTTTGTGTTTCAAGGAAAGGGGATTTATGAAGTATTAAGACCCCAAGATAGAGCTTCGTGTGGTGAGTTCTGTGAACACAGTGTTTCCTGGCCCAGTGTGTGCGGGGAGGCCGAGAGGCAGCCCGACACCAGCAGAGCCACCGCCTGCCGTCCAGGAGTCCGTGCAGCTCCCGTCCTGAGCGTTCCAAAGAATGGCACGTATTCAAATCCTCTCCGTAAGACAGCAGGAA